TTTATCGTAATGCGACAACTCGCAATAAAAGACAACTCGCATTAAAAGACAACTCGCAATGTACTCACCGCCACAATCGCGCCAGCGTGTTGCGAGCTCGCCAACAGAGGGTAGGACTTTATACGAAACTTAGAGCAGGTTATCGCCGCGAAGCGGCTACGCGCGCCCAGCGGCGACCTTAAACCGAGATTACAAAGTTGCCGAGATAATAAGCTTTCCTCTAATTTTGCGAGTAGTCTTTTGTTGCGTGTTGTTGCGGTACCTCCATTTATGCTCAGTGCTCGGCCATCACCACAGTGTACTTTTCTTTTGCAGTGTACGTAGCTTTGGGAGTGTATGTTTATTTGTAGTAACTCAGATTTCAGGATAAGGCTGTTCAGATTTAAAGAAAACCGTTTTAACTGTGGAGTAACAATTACAGAAGGATATGAAATTAGAAATATATCAGGTAGGCATGCCGAAGAAAAAAATTTAGTTAGGATATAGGGGAACTGTGATATAGAAGTGTGATAGAGGTCTCTGAAAAATGCTAACTTATCTTATGTAAAAAATTGACTAGGATTTCTGCAATTTAATTAGTAGGTGTCAAAACATCAGCTGAAATCTAGCCAGTGGCGTCAGTTGGGTTTGAGTCTTGAAAACGACCGAGCGGCTTATATTTACGAATCTTCGTCCAAGACTTTGGCTCACAATGTTCAATTATGATAAACAAAAATTGGCTTTTCGTCTAATCAGATTATTCCAACTCTACTTGAGTGTCGGTCTATTTGTTCTTCATACCCAAACTCAAGTAATTTTAAATGGTAAGATAACTCTTTATGCCATTAAAATGATGCTTATGTGAGGTGGGTCTATTTAAGTGCCTTCACTACGTTCACTGGCACTTTCAAAACCTCGCCGAACTTTATTTAGGTCATCCAAATTGTTTTTCCAAGCTATAACTTTTGAGAAAACATGTCATAACTGGCATGTTTTCTCAAAATTTATGGCACTTTTTAATCTAAAAATGCCGCATAATTGAGCACATATTTGCCGAACTCTCTCCGCATTACTACCATGATTCAAATTTACTGAACATTGGAACCGAAGGCGCCTTTGAGTCAAATTAAGGATTATGGACCGAAAAACGATTTCAGGCGGCCAAGTCCCTGAGTGTTCCTTGAAAAAAAAAACAAGCATCAAAAAGTGTCCCGCAACTTTTGCAGGGATAATTAAAATGAAAGAAAAACTGATATACAACCAGCAATTGATGCAGTGAAAATATATATGGACACAGTGGCGAAGCCGAGCTTCGCAGCACTTACTAAACAACGCAAGAATAGCTTTGCAAGCAGGAGAAAAGAAAATGAGACGAAAATCACTAAATCAAAAACTACATCTACAAAAAATTCATGCGTTTGTCTCGTCTCGACTGATGTTCATTTTCAAAAACAATCGCAAAAACACAATCACAGCATTATGTATTATGTTAGAACTAGTATCGCTTACCGAACGGCCACTTAGACGAAAATTTTAGGGCACACGACCGTTTAGCGGAAAACAAAAGCGCTGAAACAAAGCCCGTTAAAACAGCGGAAACCATAACAGCGGGAAAGCCGTTTAAAAAGCGGAAAACACAAGGAATGTATTCAAATTCAGATTTCATAATCTTTCAATTAACAGAGCGACTTTCAATTATGAAAACGTTTGGATACAAAATTTCATACATTGGAAATTAAGCTATAAAACAAGCAGACAAACGATAGTCTGAATATTCAACATTTCTTAAAAAAATCAAATTAATACGCATCAAGATGAAGACAAGGTCCGGCGGGGACTCGAACCAAAGACATATAATTCAAGGCATTCCATTACCATTGAACTAAGTGAGAAAGGAACCAGGGGCGGATTTAGGGAGGGGGAGACGCCTTTCTTTGTACTATTTTGAGATACCAATTTTTGGCTGATTGACCCTAAAAAAATTTTTCCAAAGGCGCCAGAATATACTAATTTTGAGGGGCTAGCGCGCGCCAAAAAGTGCGATTTTTTGGGCAACATTTTCCAAAAAGTGCCTTAAATAGCCTTTTTTTGGCCTGTTTTTTTTAAAAAGTCGACAAACTTTTCACGTTTCTTGGTGGTTCGTAAGAGAAGTTGTTTGCGGGAAAAAAGTTAAAGTTGTTGATTACTAGTCAGTTGCTCTCGCAAGTAAAATAAAACCAGAACTCGATCAAAACTTGCATCGTAAAACGTAGTAAAGACAGTCTTATCGTTGAAAGCATAATTGAAGGAACGGGTCAACAAGCTTTGATCCTTTTTTTTGCAAGTTTTTTTTTCTAAAACGTTTACTTTCAAAAACGTTTTACTTTCAAAAACGTTTTTTTCTTCAAGGTTTGATTACCACCTCATAAGGAAAAAGCCTTGTGAGGCGACATCTCGTCGAAAGCAACAGTTCGATCGCTTTCGAATAGACAAAACTTCTCACCAGTCGACAATAAACACTTAACTTTATGCCGCAAATGGGCTGATACATGTTCTGTGCACGCCATTAAGTTTTCGACTATGCTTTGAAAGCTGTTACGGGTTTTTCTATTCAATGACTCAAAAAAGATAGTTGGAAACTGCAAAATAAGATCATAATGGTTGAGTCTGATGAGCTGAAAGAGACTACTTTGCAGAAAAACAATGTGATAGGTAATTTCGAAACAGGCCGTATGTAAGCAATTAATTGGCATACTTTTTCCATGTCTATGACACACCAAAAAAAAATTTGAGCTTTATGAATTATAAAAATCTGTGCTGGTGATGAGTTAAGAAAAAAACATGTCCAGCCGTCGTGGGGACTGGGGATCTACTTTCACCTGGGCAGAAAGATATTTTTGGCAGAAACAAGAAATCTGCTATCAAATCCGGGTACTTTTCTTTTACACCCCGCATTGGTATAACTATGGTAGAAGGGACCCAGCTAAAGCTGGAAGTACCTGTTTGATATTTTCTGAATTTTTTGTACTGGTGCGGGGATAAAATAGGTAATTTCAAAATCGGGCTTAATTCAAAACCTTAGTTTCGCTAATAAAGAAAGAGTGAAGTTTTTGGAGAAGTTGGATATTTCTCAAGGACATAACATATTTCGTACAACCAAATTTTCAGGCGTAGACGCTTCTGCGCGGAGGCTTCCCACCACCTTTTGCCTTTATTTAAATCCCACTCTTGATATCCCTCTAAAAAAATTATCGGCCTAAAATTCCAACATGACTTTTCTGACAACGGTAACTTTTTGGTAAACTTTAGGAATATTTCCTTATGCGGGGGAGCTTCGCACAACCTTTTCTTTCGATTGAAACTACAATCTCAGATTTGTCAGGGTAGTTTTCAAAAAAAAAATTCAAAAAATTAAAATATGACTTTTGCGAGGACAATAACTTTTTGTGTAGGAGAATTTGGCTGAGTCACCTTTATAGTGGAGCTTCCCAAAAACCTAACTCTCCATTGAAGCCAAAATCAGATTAAAGATTGGAAAATAATTGGATGAAATTGCTGCAAAAGAGCGTCGCAAACCCTGTTCTTTCGATTGAAACCAAAATCTCAGATTTGTGAAAGTAGTTTTCGAGATAAGTCAAGAAATTTGAAACGGTCCAAAAATCAAAAATATGATTTTCCGAGAACGGTAACTTTTGTGAAAAAAAATCTGGGCCTAGCCACTAATGCAAGGAAAGTTCGCATAACTCGTCCTCTCCATTGAACCCAAAATCTCTGATTTGGGAGGGTAGTTTTCGAGATAAGTCAAATTTAAAAAAGTCGAAAAATCAAAAAGTTGGTTTTTTCCGAGGGTCATTACTATTCGTGTAAAAAAAATCAGGCTTGGCCAATAATGCAGGTGAGCTTACCACAACCTGTCCTTTTGATTGATATCAAAATCTCAGATTTGGGCGGGTAGTTTTTGAGAAAAAGCATAAAGTTTCAGAAAACGGTCTTTAAGTCAAACATGACTTTTCCGAAAACGATATAGTTTTGTTAAATTTTAGAAATATTCGTTTGAAGAAAAATCATAATATTTAAAGCTTCAATATGTTTCAGACTTAAGTACAAAAGAAAGATTTAAAGCAATAGTTTTGACTTTTTCATGACATCAATAATTTTAAAAGCAATTTCCTTTTTGACTCAGTGACATTTTCGGAAGTGATATGGAAGGCCTATTTGACGCAAGTGACTGCGTTTCTTGACTCTGATTCTCCTAATCTAAACTTATCTTTTCCTCTGTTTTTACATATTGGATCTGTTCACAATATTAGCAAATGGACTGAATTTCATCGGACTGAATTTTAACACAAACCAACTTAGCGGCATTTCGAAAATTTCTGGGGTTAATTGATCGAATTTGAATGGAAATCAAAAATAAGGAATACTCAATGAACGTATTTTTATCAAGATGGCATTGAAATTGAAATCAAATTTCAAACACTGGCAAAGCTGCACTTCGCAACCGCACGGCAAAAGAATTTTTAAAATGCTGAAGAGTTCAAAGAATAGCTACAAAAAAATAGCCAAAAGTGGTATTCGAAGCACGGACCTCTAGAATACATTCGCCACCTGCTTTGCTGTCGCCGGCAGCTTACATATTCTTATATCCTTCGAAAGTAAGCATCAGGCAGCAATGAAGCAGCTTTCATGAAGCATATAAAACACATGCTACTAAAATTGCTCACCAAACAGAATTTAAGCAGTACATAGATACTGAAATTGAACAAAAGTTGAACAAAAACCGTTCTAGTAAGGCTAGAAAAGCGTTTGCCTTGGAAAAGTAGGTTTTTATACAGGAAAAGATTTTCCTTATCCTCAAGATGACAATATTAAAACAGCGTCATTTAACCAAGTTCTGCCATATATGTCTTCTGAATAAAAAAACACCGGCAAGTGAGCACAGCACAATGCTTTAGATATAATTCTGAAAGGGCAGGACTTCTTCAAGAAACCGAATCAAAAATTGGTGATTAATTATATATCTGATTTGAAAAAAGACTGACCTTGATAAGGCATAGTCGTGAAGGCCTTTGTGTAGTTTGGTGTCGGTGAAGGTGCCTATGCATCCTCGCAACACAGCCTTGCTCTCAGGAGTGTCCTGATTCTTCCACGTCACAAACAGAGGACTAAACAGATTACAATTTGGGCTTTTTTTACCGTCAAGCTCCTCGCCCACATGCCATTTTTGAACACAAACATCAACTTCGCAGTCTAGCCGCAGCCTTCACGTTGTACATGAAGACAAAATACAAAATGTATTTGTAATACAGCCACGTGCCAATTTTCATGACTAACAAAGAAAAGCCATAACTTGTTAGAATGATTATTGAGTTATCCTTGTTCTGGTTTTGAAGAATAATACAGAAAACTATCACTTAAATTCATCCTCGCAAGAGCATCATTTTTTTGGTGTAACGAAGGGTTTTACAAGGTAGACCAAATATGTTTGTCATGGCCTAGCTAGTGTGCCTCTCAGTTTTCATAACAATCCGACAATGTGAACAATAAATTTAGTAGTAAAAATTTGCAGGTGGGGGAGGGAGAAAGAGCTGAAGTTTAATATTGAATTTTTTTTAGAGTTGTTTAAGTGCCGCAATCTATTGTGAATAGACTTTTTCTCGTACTTTACATCACAAGGTCACTCAGTTAGCCATGATAATACGCGAAGCAATCAAGAAAATGAACAAGTTGAGTACAAGAAAAGAAAATGAAATAGGGGGATTGGAAAAAGTTCTGTTTCCTCTAACATTCTCTAACTTGAATTTTATGCGACACTTGTTGATATCACAGTTGAGAGCAAGCTATTATAATGTAACACTTGCGGATCCATTTTGCGATCAATTTTTCTTTTCCGTGACATGCGAAAACTTTGTTTGTGTTGTCCGATTAATGTGAAAACTGCCGCGTCAGTTTTTTTGCAGCGGTTCGGCTTTGAGTGCCGCGTCAGCTTTTTTTTGTAGAGGTTCGGCTTTTTTTTTTCGAGGCCGGTGGTTTTCTTGGAAAAGAGAAGGAAATGTACTCTTACAAGCTTTCGTTAGCGTGTGCGAAAGTGGGAGTGGACACTCGTGGCACTTGGTCGTGTTTCAGTCGGTTGACGAGGACGTCGAAGCAGTAGACACACATGTCGTAACACGAGACAGAATTGCCCTTCGGGTACTCGCACAGAGCCTGCTGCTGTACTTGTGCAGCCGCCGCCATGTAGAGACCCCCCGTGTGGTTTGTGCCAGAGCCCTGCGACAGACACCCAATCAAAGCAACCACAAAAACAACAATAATAAGTTCAGATTCAGATACGACATAGAACACTTGAGCTCACGTGTTGAAATATTTAATTAATTTATCAGCACGTGATTCGATTCGTAGGTAATGGCTTAAATTTGCAAATACAGATAACTGAGATATCAATAGCGTCGTTGGCTTTGGACCTCTTTTGGGTTTACAAGGGATGACTGTACTCGTGAGACAATAATTTGCTCAATTAGCATATTTATCAAGCAATAAACTTTACGAGCCAACTTATTGTCTGTATGATCAATAACGTACCGGTGGGGACGCCTTGTTGGACGACGTCTGACTGGGCACCCGAGAATGTTGCGGAGATATTCGCGAGTTCACACTTCCCGCCATGTTTACGCTGAGAGAGGAACCGGCAGAGCAGTTGGCGGGCGAGTAGTGTCCAGAGGTGGGCCCGAACCCGTTACTAATGTGTCCATTGGACAACCTATTGGAGCTACCACTAGACTGCTGCTGGAGTTGTCCGTGGTGACCAGTTTGTGCGTATCCGTTCATGTACGAAGTTCCTGAATCAAAAGTTATTCCACTTTTACACGTCCATCGAACGGAAATCCTATTTGGCGATCAATTACTTTATCACAAGCTTCGATATTTAAGGAGCTAGGAAAACGAAACGAGAGAAAAATCAGTTTAAGATGTTTACAGTTTAAGAAAAAAATGAATTCTGAAGAAGAAACTAGATGTTCAAAAAAAAAACGACCAATGAATGCTACCCATTCTTAACTCAACTCTAAGGAAATACCAAAAAAGGTAGCTATCCCATGCTTTTCAGTTTACTCAATAGCCAGTTTACTCAAAGTTATGCCCATCAGAAAACTTAAGTGAATCATTACTAACCAGGTGAATACGAAGCACCAGTGTGAAAGTTGAGCTTATCCCCACTCGACCCTCCTGGTGACGTCACACCAGTGCCCATGGGAGTATTCCTGGTATATGCATTTGAGTTCTGCTGCTGTTGTTGCACGTGTGCATTGTTGTACATTGAGTTATTCTGTTGTTGTTGGTTGCCATGGTGATAGTGTTGTTGCTGTTGACCGTGAGCTCCAGGGGATGAGGACATTTTCTGCTTCTTCTGGGCGCTGCCGTTGTTCCCGCTGCCGCCCGATAGACACGACATGTTATGATTTATAAAACTCCGAGTAGAACTGTTTGTAAAGGTAATCTGGACTGATAATCGTCAGACTGAAGAAGGTTCCAAATATGGCCAAAGATTGATTGAGGTCTAGGAATTAAAGCTGAGGGGTCTGAAATCAAAAAAATGCTTTGAATAAAAATATTTGAATAATTCGAATAACAAGTATTGCATAAAATTGGGAGCGTTAAAGGAACAGTGTTGGTTACAAAGCAATGCCACGTTAAAAATTTTTGAAATTACTACTACAGAAGAATTTTGCAGAGACCCTAAGCGCTTTGAATCCTCAAGTACTTGAAAGCTCAGAATAACTACTGGATTAAATATCTTTCTTGTGAACTGGATGGATATGCAAGATTTTTGAGAAAAAAAGATGAAATTAAGGTTCACATGGTTGAAGTCACGATATAAAGAAATATTAGCTTTTCCTATGATAATCCCCCAATATGTTACTGTCCCTATAAAACAAGAATCAGTACAGTAAAGCTGTAATGTAAAGCTGGGAGTATGCAATGAGAAAGAGCCGGAAACTTCATTGATGTCGCGAAAACTAATTTAAACGTATCAATAACTATGATTTCATATTTTTTCAGCAGAAAAATTAAAAGCACCATTAACCCATGGAAAATACCTTCAAGTAGCATTGCATACAGCTTTGAAAGCCCAAGGAACAAAAAATTAAACTACAGCGCCAATTAAGTTTTTGGAAAGTATTCGCTGCTAAATTATTCAAGATTTTTCAGGTTAACGCAGATATAAAATTATATAGATTTTCCGGAGCCTCGTGTAAATGATCTAAGAAAATCGAGCCTACCAAGCCTACCTGTTTATTTGATAAACACCTCAGACCCACTTACCCGATATGCTTAGCTTGCTAGTGATATAAAGCGGTGATCCGACAATTGTAAGCTACAAAATAGAGATTTCTAAGACGACAGTGAACTCCAGCAGTCAATTGGTCACAGACACATCAGTTTGGCTTGTTCGTATAAGACAGCCAAAATAATCTGCAGCTCTTGTGGTGTGATGTGGCTCAGTTTGAAGAGTGGCTCAAAATTGTGCACCTTGTAGTCGAATAGTTAGCAGCAAATTTAATGGACAACGTTTTAAGAATTCGAAAAAAAACCAGAGCCATTAGGACATCAATTATTCTTTTTTTTCGGAAGAAGAAGCAACTCCGCTTTAATTTCGCTCAAAACTAGACAAAGTTATTGTCGATTGATTTGTTTCAAAACTTGTCCAATAAACTTGCTTTTAACTATATTGTGTATGGGCAGATAGGAGGAAAGGGAGGGGGCTTTACTGTGTTGTGCAGCAGGCGTTGGCTGGCAGCGAACAGAAGAAGAAAGAGTGGCGGAGACGACGATCGAACCGGACTAGGAGCGGGTTAGAATAGAAATTGAGATGGTGCTACACTACATAGCAGACATTGTTCTGAAAGGAAACTATCAATTAATCAACTAAGTAATTAAACCGATGAATAGAGTAATATATATTATTGTAATTAAAAAAGCATACTCATTAAAAATTGTTTCGCAAATAATTGATGTCTTAAATTAAGAGCGACCGACCCCTTAGAACGACACTTACCCAGCCAAAGGTTCGAACCGAACGACCACTTGCGAAATATAGAGAAATTTTTAATTCTAAAAAACGAGTAGAAGGAAGAAAACAAGCCCCGATTATTACACTTTTCATTTGCCTCAATTTACAGGGTGTCCCGAAAACTCAGCAGTGCAGAAGTCATTCCAAAAATCACGATGCTTTTCCTGTTAATCTTGTTTTCCCCTTATGTAGATCAAAACTCTTTCGGGGAAACAAAATCAAAATCAAGCGACAGTGCGCCACTTGTGATACAACACAAACATAAAAAACTCAAATCGAAAAAAAAATAATGTTGAAAAAACTAGGTGAACCAAAATTTCTCCATTATCTCGATAAAAAACAACTAAGGGCCCAGCTAAAGCTGGAGCAACATGTTTGATATTGAATGGCTTTCCTATACTGATGCGGCACGAAAATGTGATTTCAAAAATTGACTTAGCCCAAAACCTTAGTTGTTGATCTACTAAAAGAAGTGAGAAGACAAAACAAAATTTGAGATGATCAATTTCCCGAGATAACATTTCTCGTAGAAAAAAAACGCCGCCGCTTCTGCAGGAACAACTATCGCAACCGGATCGTTTCTCATATTTGATGAGGTTAATTTTAAGCAAATTCAAGAAGTTTCTAAGTTCTAAAAAAACGTTCAAAAGACTATCCAAAATCCAAAACTTTTGTTTGCAAAAAGCAGGTTGTGGCCGCTTAAGCAAAAAAGATTTCCAAAACCGGGTTTCTCGATTGAACACAACCTGGGAATTGGCACAGTAGTTTTGGCGTAAAACCAAAAAGTTTCCAAAAGTTTCAAAACTTTGACTTGTTTGAAGGCCATTGTTTCGATTTAACCTATGATATTCGATTTGGCAGGAAAGTGGAAATTTTGACTTTTCCGGGACCAAATTTTTTGGTTTATAGCATGAGCAAATGAACTTCCCAAAACACATTCTTCAAATTGAACCCAAAATCTTCAATTAAAAAATCAACAACTTTTCGACGGAGTCAACTTTTTGTGCAATAAATTTTGTAAGTTGGCACTGATGCAGGGGAACTTATCACTACCCGTTATCCCATTGAACCCACGAAATCAGATTTGAGAGGTTAATTTTTGAGAAAAATCACAAAGATTCACAAAACGGTCAAAAATATTTAAAAAAATTGACAATTCCGAGGGCCATAAATTTGAGTAAAAAAATTGGGACAAGCCGCTTATACAGGGAGCTTTTCAAAATCCTTTGTATCATTGAAACCTAAACTTGATTTGAGAGGGAAAGTTTTCGAGAAAACGAAAACAAATCAAAAAGATGGATCAAATATTCCCCACAGACTTTTTCGAAGACTGTAGACGGAGGCGTAAAGTACAAAGAAACTCTGGGGGAGTATTCAGGCACTCAGGGGAGTGGGCGGTCTTTCAAATGAAATTTCAACAAACCGAGTGGTAAACATACAAAAAAAATGAAAAGCGCGCAGTAGAGTGTTAAATAGAAGGAAATACGAAGTCAAAGTAAGTAAAATAACAAATTGCAGGAGCCGATCAAACACTAAAAGTATTATTGAAAAAAATGCGCGCAGCAAAAAATAACGGTTCCAAGATAGGATAACCAAGCCGACAACAGATAATTAGCGATCTTAGACAAATAATTGCCCTACAATTTTATTTGAAACAGAATATTTCTCGTTTGAAAAAAAGGTCCTTGTCAGATTCGAATTGCGGACCTTTGCCATCTCAGGCGGATTCGTTGCCTCCAGAGTAAGCTGGCTGGAAGACGCTTAGAAATTTGATTTCATTATGAACCAAGATACCAACAAGTGATTCTGTTAAACAAATTGTTAACCGAAAAAAAACTATAATCCGATTTGATAACGCATGCTAATCGCAAGCGTAAATAGTAACAAAATAAATTTCGACTTGAACGATTATTGATTCATAGAGCGGAAATTAATTAGCATTAAGCTGTACGTCGTATTTTCGGTAGCCGCTTCTTCACCTCAATTGCTCGTTCCTATAGCCCTGACTGCTTCGTAAATCAACGCATGGATTAAAAACACAATTTGGGAATTTAATTTAGAGTTTAAAGTTCATGACCAACACAACTGCAAAAAAAACTTATCATTCTACAAACCTGAAATTCAGAAACTAAAAATAAATTTTTCATAAAAGTCAACATCTGAGGGGCTTTTTAGATATTGTTCCGCGCCATAAATTATTACATCACTGAGACGGAAAATAAAAAAAAAACAATTTGCGGCGCCATAATCGGCAAGAACATACCCGCTAGCTCGACAATTCACAGTTTTGCAAACGCCCCAGATAAAAACATGAAGCTACATGTAACTAGCTAAATTTCAACCAACGAAAACTGCACTACTATCTCTCGTACATATTCGCTAGCAGGTAAGAATAGTTCTATGCACGATCTCATATGCCATTTTTCTCCGTAAATACGGCATATCTTTTTGAGTAAAATTGAATTCCCTCTCCGCCGCAACATGTTCTGCGAATGTCAACGAAAACATTCCACAATCACTGGCGTTGCCCTGTTGCGGTATTCCCGTGGCATTAGATACTGTCCAATCATCGGTCGAGAACTGAGGAAGTTTACCATCTGGATTTTTCTTATTTTTGTATTCATCTTTGACGTATTGTTCTAAAGTGCCGAGACATGTGTTATTCGGGTGTCCCATTGAGTCGTAATAGAGAATAGTTTTATTTTTGAAACTGACAACTGCCATGCACCAGTGCACTTGCAAGTGAATCGGAACCAAGAGAAAGTCTTTCGAAAAGATATCCACTCTTTTCGTCCACCGTTGCACCTTGCTGTAACCTCCTTCCAGTAATCTAGGATAAAAAAATGTATTCATTGTATGACAGCTAGCGAAATTTTCGCTTTTGTTTCCTCGGTCTACGATCAAGTTTAGGTAGTAGTTTATGATTTCATCATTGAGCCAGGTTAGACCTTTCAAAGTTCGGATGTCTTTGCGAGTGATTGAAATCATGAACTCTTTCACAAGCACTTCGCCATCTGGACCAGGTCCAAGAATCCTGTCTATTTCTTCTTCCTGCTCCGAGGTCAAATCAGGGAACACCTTGACCTCTTTCTCTGGGATTTGGATCTTCACTATTGGCGGTTCCCGGTTGAAGACATCCAATTGGCTTCCAATGTTGTAGAATTGTGTTTTCCGGAATTGCGCCGTAAATTCGCGAAGTACAGGTTGCTTTAATCGATGTGTCTCTATTATCGATTTGTATTCATTCACCGCTCTCGCGTCTTTCAGAAAGTTCGGGTCCATAAACTTTCCTTGAATATCTTTGGAAAGAAACGATCCTGCGGGTTGTCGGGGCATGGATACCACACTTGAGTTTTCCTCTTGCTCCAGGCATAGGACTTCCGTGTCACTTTCATAAAAGTGTGTACTATTGCTCGGCTGCTTCTGGTTCACGCAAACTGAGTTATAGAGGACTTTGGGCTCCGCCAATATATTTCGGACATTCACATCTGCTGTCAAAGATCTCGGCTGTGCTGCCGGGGTCTTACGGTGATTGATGATAAGTATCGGATATGGAGATAAATTTTTCAACTCGTAGTCGATCTTTTTCGGTTTAAAACTCGGTATCTGTGATTTTGGCGAGGGAAGCTTTGTTGAATAGATATGAAGTTTGGCCGATAGATCATTCTGCCGACTATCTCCAATTGGACTGATGCTAGCTACGGGTGCATAACCTCCAGAGATTCTTGTACTATTCACCATGGCATTATCATAGCCATGTGCATAATTCATGCTTGAGTCATTGAAGTTGTGACCCATTGAATGCCTTTGATATAGACGAGAATGCCCATTCATTGTATAGTCGGAAACGGGAGTTTGAACATCGGAATACCTCTTCGTGCTGGTAGGCCCGTAATCGGTTTTGTGACTATGAGAGCAGTTGAAGTCGTCTAAAGTGGGTCTTCTGGATGATTTTTGGTTATAAACATTAGCAGAAGTAGAAGGCTTCAAAGCTAGCAGAGATCTTTCACGCGATCGAGCTTTATAAGAGTTGATGTTCATTTTTTGCCTCTTGACGGGAGGGGATCGTATTGGAACTACATCAAGTGATCGTTTACGGGAACGACTGTTGTTTGGTCTATTATTCGCAGACGAAACTCCAAAAAATGTCAGAACACTGTTGGTTAGTTTGGTTATCATCAGATAATTACACAATAAGTTTGATCTGAAAAAATTACACGTCAACAAATCGAATTCCTAAAACTCAGTATGTGATTGTTGTTAAACAAAAGGTGGAAAGCAAAAAAAATGAAAATCAAGTGTAAGCGGGGAAATTAGCACTAGATTTTAAATCGAAACGGATCTTCATTTTACTTCAAATGCAAAACAAACATAGCATGGCAAACTAGAAAAAAGAAAATGAGACAATAATCTCAAGGGTCGAAAAAAATTTTAATGCACAAAAAGCTAGATCTACCAAAACTTTGAAGTGATCGTCTCGAATTGTCTTGAATTAAGTTCATTCTAAGAAAAAATGTCAAGTTAAATAAATGAATGTTGAATTAGCCTCGGAACTACACTTAGGGTGCGGTACAAAGCCGATAAAACTCATGCCGACACATTTATTTTTTTTAAAAAACATGTCAAAACAGTCACATTTATATCACTAAACAAATCACCAATGAGCGTTATGCGCTGTGGTCATTTGATGGTTTTGTCAATTTCGTGTTACGTCTTTTACAAGGCTCTATGTGACAACAAAGCCAAAATTGTTAGCAGAAAAATTGAACTTATACTGCAATCGGAGTTGATAAATTGCAACATGTATGCTCAAAATGTGTCTGTTGCTTAACGAAAATACAAATTTGAAAAATAGATTCAATGATTCTCTCAGACAAAATGTTACCATGGATAAAAGTATATTCCGATATTATAATTCTTGCTAATCGCTAGCGAATAGCACGTCAGTAAATTCTTGAATGGAAAATTCGAATGTTCACAATTTTAAAAGTTTTTTGACAAGGTCCTTGTAGGGTTGACTTTGAGCATTCGAAATTTTATTGTAAGTCTCATCGATCTTAAAAATAACACCGAAAAAAAAACCGAAATATAAGCAGTGTACGGAAGGCGGTACACACAATTCAGAAACTAATCCGAAAGATTTTAGGTAAATGGTTGCTTGTAAAAATTAGCTATCAGCCAAAACTTTTAAGTCCTAAATTTGTTTAGACAAGGAATTCGAAAAAAGGGAGATAGACTGGGCTAGATTGCAATGATTGAAAAAGGTTATGTTTTCAGGCGAGCAACTGTCAAAAAATAATTATTAAAAATAATATTTAATCCGGGCTTCATCCTTCATCTAAAAGAATGAGAACATATCAGTAAAAAAACTATCAAAATTGAGGCAAACCAAGATAAAAAATATCAGACGAAAATCATTCACGATAACGTCCGAAAGTATTCGAACCAGACCCAAATTGCCCGAAAAATTCACGCTTCCATATTATTTGAAATTGGTTTTACTCGCAGTACAAATGTTTTACTCGCAGTACAAAATTTGCAGAACAAAAACTTTCGATTTGTTACTGTAAGTAGAGACTCTGCCAGACAAATTGTTTACAGTAAAAAGGCTCATATTGGATTTGACAAAATCTGCTAATCGCAAGTGGTTAAATGACATGGAAAACGGGTAGGCTCCAGACAGTGAACCTTAATAGGCAATTATGGTAGAGAAAAACAAATAAAATCGAAGCTTGCTCAATAAATCGATGGCAAGGCACCCAATTAGTATAAAATTATTTGCCAAAAATTTGATAGAGAGGCAAAGCTGCCATTTGCAAATAAAAGTCAAAAACGTGGAGAAAACGAAAATTAAAAAAGAAAGAGAGAGAGCTCTTTTTCTAACCCCCCCTCCGCGCACACACACACATACACTCAAGCTTATTTGAATTTGAACTTTTGAAATCTTCTATAGCGTGGTCATTCTGCAACAAAATTTTGAAAATCGCGACAACAGGCCTTTAGCAGTAATGACATTAGAATCAATTAGCAAAATAGAAAATTTGAAATGAAGTGGAATGATTAAGGAGCCCAAGAGAAAAAAACGGCTAGAAAAAAGATAATCGAACTTTTAAAATATATACACTCTACGGGAATCAAACCACAGACCCTGAGCATCCAAGATAACTGCCCTGCACAAATGTGCCACAATCGCTTAAAGAACCGGAACAAAAGCTACTCATAAGGCTGAGAACACATTTTATAAAACTGACGATTCTCAGCGAAAAAGTCTATCTAGTTAACGATTAGAGGACACTTCCTATGACACTTGTAAATATTTGCTCTTAAGTATTAGCTATTAGCCAAGATGTTAAGGACCATAAACTTTAGATAAGAAATCCGAAAAAAAATAGCTAGACTGGGCTAGATTTTAATGATTGATCATCCAAGCCACTAGTAAAAATTTGCAATCAGCCAAGATGGTAAAGTCCCCAAACTTGTTTAAATAAGGAATCAGAAAAAAGATAAATGGACTGGGCTAGATTATAATGATTGATCAGCGAAGCCACTAGTAAATAGTTACTATCTGCCAAGAAGGTAGTCTCTACACTTGTTAAGATAAGGAGTCCGAAAACAGATAAACTGGGCTAGATTACAATGATCGAAAAAGCTTATATTTTCCGGCGAACTTCTGTCAAAAAATAAATATTAAAAATAATGTTTAATCCGGGCTTTATCCTTCATCTTAAAAGATAGAGAACATATCAGCAAAAAAACGATCAACATTGAGGCAAAAACCAAGATAAAAAATCAGAGGAAAATCATTGAATTATTCACAATAACGTCTGATACTATTCGAACCAGATCCATTCGGCCAAAATAATCACGCTTCCAAATTATTCAAAAATGAGCTAAATATGTCGCTGAATCGGCATCAAATTAATTCAGAAAAAAACAATCTAACAAAAAAAATCAACAAAGCACCAAAAAAATCTGCTTTTTATCTTAGATAAAAAACATTAATAGAAGAGAAATAACTAAAGTAGTTTACTTAAAGTTACATAGCTTACGGCAACTAAGCCGAAACAAAATTAGACTGAAATATATTTAGGCAAAAAAAACGCCAAAACGTCATGTCGCAAACACATGTAGCCAATCTTTTTGAATAAGAAGAGCGATCGACAATGGTTGTAGGAAAGGTGAAATTATGATGCTAAGCAAATGTTGCATGTTTTAGTGGACAGTCAAGAACGGTACAGTCCGATAACAAACAATCGTTCAGCCAATATTGAGTTCGAAAAATTTACTGCGTTATACGCAAAATGTTTAGCATTGAGACAAACCTGCTTATGATCAGAGAAACAAAAAAATAAATTCACAACCATTTTAGTCCACAAATATAAAGAAAGGGAGTTTCGGCGAGTACAAATGATATTATGGGTTTTCATAGAAAAAATACGCAAACATTGCAGCACAAAAACTTTTGCTTTCTTACTAAGTCGAGAAAACTTTCTCTCCGGCAAGTTGTTTACAAGAAAAAAGCCTGATATTGGATTTGACAATATCTGCTAATCGCAAGTAGTTAAATGACATAGAAACGGATAGGCCCCAGACACTGAACCTTAATAGGCAAAACAAATAAAACCGAAGCTTGTTCAAAAACAAAAATATTGAGTAAAATAAATAAAATCGTAGCTTGCTCAATAAATCGATTGCAAGGCACCCTATAAGTATTGAATTATTTGCCAAAAATTTGACAAAGAGGCAAAGCTGCAAATGCAAGCGAAAAACGTCAAGAAGTAGCTTTAAAGATTAAAAAAGAGAGAAGGCTCTTTTTCTACCCCCCCCCTCCCCCAGACACACTCACACATACATACATACTTACACTCACGCATATTTCAATGTGGTTGATGGATTAAAGAGCCAAAGAAAAAAAATTACAAGAAAAAAGATGATTGAATTTTAAAATATATACAATTTACGGCAACTGGACCACAGACCCTGAGTCAAGACGACTGCCGTACACAAATGTGCCCCAACCGCTTAAATAACCGGAACAAAAGCAACTTATTATGCGGAGAACAGATTGTATCAAACTGCTGATACTCAGCGAAAATGTTTAACAAATTTAACTATCTCAAGCAAACTCACTAAGCACTAACGCAAGCAAACTTTGGTCTATCATTAAATCTCTATCTGTACAAACCCTCTCCCCCCCCCCCCCCCCCAAAAAAAAACACCCGATATAATCAACGACACAACATTTTATGACGCTAAAAAATGTGCAAATCATTTTCATTTTGACGAACAGTTCACACCCCACCCAGAAAAGCCTGACAAAGAAAAAAAACTCAAGCACCATCATAGTAAAACTTGTTTTAAGCAAAATCACCATCTCACCACTGATGGTACAAGAAGCCATTTAAGAACCAAAGAGCAAAGCCTTAGGCCCAGATCAAAGTGTGCTCATGTATTTACACTATCTCGTTCGAAAAGGCATCAAATTTCTCTCATAGATTATCACCAACTCAACCAATACAGCAATAATATCACATATGTGGAAAATAGCACGAATAATCCCACTAGCTAAACCAGGTAAAGACCTAGAGCAATCAAAAAGCTTCCGCCCCATCGCCAAACTGGTGGAAAGGATTCTTTTACCTGAACTACATCAAAACATACAAATAGCAGATCATCAACACGGTTTCAGGACCGCCAGATCGTTCGTTACTGCTTCAAGCTCTATAAAATAGCACAAAACTGAAGGATTAAACCATGTCAACGAACTCTTAAGACAGCCCTGGTCCGCCACGCGGAATTTGACACAGTGAACCTTAGTGTTCTTCTTCGTGACATATTTAATTCAAACTTAACAATCAATACAAAACGATGGCTATTATCCTACCTACCAGGCCGCTTCAAATATTCTGAAATTCGGGACAATAAACCCGGCATGAGACAAGTTAATTAAGGTGAACCAACTGCTACCTCAGCGTAACTTGCTGAAGTAAACTATGAAACCAAAGTTGTTATTGGAGGGTATCGAGTCATCGAATAGTGGACATCGAAGAAACCAAAAATGCTGGGTTACCTCTGACAACATGTTAACGTTCGGAACAAACTCAAACAATAATTGCACTCGAATTCAGGCCAAAAATAACATCCGTAAAAAACTTGCTAGTGCCAAATCTGGTTGCCAGAAAGAAACATTTTCCATCGGTTACAAAGTCA